TCCCTGGCTTGCAACGGCATCATCCAAACAACTTCTATGAAAATCTCTTCATAAAACACCCCTCTATCTACGTGGGTCTCAGCTCATAAGGACAGGAGCTGTGTTCTGTTATAAGAACACCTGCTATAACCACTCCATCTAAATATACACGTAAAGTTAAAAAAAATCTGCAAAAAGCCTACTGGTAAACAAGGTCATATTCATGAGTGTCAGAAACTAGAATGTCAACATTTTGGTTGTGGGAGGGACATAATCTAATCTACGGGAAAAGGCTGCAGAGTGGCAGGCAGTGTACCCAGAAGGAGGAGACTGTGATGTGGGTGCTGACAAAGGTCAGGGAACTCCTTTGCCTTGCCTACTCCCTGTTGGGAACCTCCCCCACTGCCAAGGAGAAAGTCTGGGGAGCCAGGGGAACTCTCATCCTCAAAGAGCCAGGTTTAGGAGAGCACCTTTTTCAACACATTTGCTAGTAAAACATGGAATTAAAAAAAAAAAACTTTGCCCAGGTGCTTCAGCAATTTCTACTGAAGTTTTAAAAAATAAAAATAAAAAACCAAACCTTTTACTATTTCAAGCGGCTAGAAGTATGTATTTTAAAATAGCCTCACATTAATATGAATTCCTTTTTAAACACTCCAGTATAGAAATAACCCTTTTAAAAATCATCATTGCTCCATCCAAATACACATACACAAGAGCAAGCATGCATTTATGCAAATGCGTGTACACACATGTGTTCACATCATCCCCTGTAAGGGATGTAGTTAAGAGGCAACACCTAACACCAGAAAATAACAAGATACTTTCTTACTGAAGTCTAGCAAAGGAATAAACTAAGGCCACCCAATCCTAGCTTTTTTGGAGTGTCTAATAAAGACATTGACAAGCATATTGCTGGTTTCCATGCTATAAACCAAAAAGCAAATGAACTAGTTCTCTAACGATTTCAGTTGAGCTTTGAATCAAGAACATTAAATTTCAGTGTCTTTATAGAAAAATGTCAACACCAATTTCCAGAAGAGGAAGGAGACATCAAAGTGTCAGAAAAAAATATATCACTAAGTCCCTGATAAAAGGAGACATGGCACAGAGAAGATAAAAATGATGAGGGCACTAGTTTTTGAATTGACTTTGCTAAATATTCTCAGTAATTGGATCAGAATGGATCAACATACTCTCACCATAGACTCTTCTCCTCTGGTTCTAAGGGTCAGGGCTGGGGTCCCTCAGCCAATCTAAGACCAATCATAGACATTTTATTGACAAACTACAACTTAAACAAAGGCTGAAAATCTTGCTAAGACAATCTTTGGAATTCATAGATATTTTCAAGTTGATATGAATAATTCAACAGGTAAATATTATACTTAAGTCAAATAATGCAGTTGCAAAGTACAACTAAAAACACATGATGGAGAGAGACACCAAAAATCAGGATGCCAAGACAGAAACAGACCAAGACAACAGTTTGGAGAAAGGAAGAGAGACAGTGTGTGAGAAAGGGGCTAGATGTTAACAGAACACAGATTTCAGAGGACTGATGCTCAGCTTTGGATGAACCTGGAAACCAGTCAAAGTTAAGATAGCAATTAACTGAATCACACAGTGAGCAGGGAGACTGTACCTGACCAAGCCTGACTAGTACTTCAAAAGTAAGAGCGTTTTCATGTGGGCTCTATATTGCATAGATCAGTCACAGCCAGGCTCTCCTGTTCTCCCATTTCAGCTAAATGAAGCATCAGGAGACAGTAAGAGAGGCTTGTGAGAGTAAATAGTCCACGGAGTGATGAAAGGCTAATATAAAACTCATCCATTCCGTTGTTTATCACATTTGACAAGAAATTGAATGCCATGAAACAGAAATTGTCGCAAAAGAAACACATTTCATTAGAGAGAAGAAGCTTAACACATCTCTAGAACAACTCATCTGCCCATTTCCAATTTCTACTGAGATCTTTGCAGAAGTTATAGCGAGAGAGAAGGAACAAATTTTGAGTTTCAATGAATTACGAGACTCCAGGGGGGTTAAAACTTGACAGGGGGATACCATATGCAACACAGGCTAATGGGAGACAGAACCAACCACCCACACACTCAGCTCCTGGCAGAGGTCAAAATCAGATACCTACCCAGATTGTTCAGAGAGGTAGAAACTTTGCAGATTAAAGGATATTGGATGATGAGGAGACAGGGTCACGTGGCATTTGTTAAAGCTTCATTGCCAAGACCATAGCACCGCAGCTCAGAAAATGGACAGCAGACCTTACTGCACCTGATAAAGTTTCTATGTGCCAGGAGATCCAAGATCAGATGTAGATTATCACCAAAATTGTCTCTGAAGACAAATCACAATTTTCAGAATGTCAGAAGAGAAGCCCCACCAAACACCAAGGTAGAGCCTCAGTCAAATTCAGATTTGAAAGTCTGAATCATCAGGATTCACCAAGTGCTGCCCTTAGAAAATACAGGAGCACAAAGTGCTCATGAGTTGCAAGGAATTTGCTCCCAAATTGTGTTTGATGAATTGAGACCATGAGAACAAGAAAAACTGTATCCCAAACTCCTCGTAAAATAATAGAAGACTAGAAACCCCAAAGATACTGGAATTTTTTTGTTTGGTAAGTTGGTTGACTAATTAGCTGGTTGATTATTTGGTCAGTTGTTAGACTGGTTGGTTGGCTGATTGGTAGAGCAGTTGATAGGATTTGGTTTACTGGCTGATTGGTTGGTTGGTTGGTATATAGGGTGATGGGTAGGTTGGTTGCTTTACCAGTAGGGCTGTTGGTAGGCTACTTGGTTAGTTAGTCAGTAAGCCAATTGATTGATTGGTACATTGGTTGACCATTTATTTGTTAGGTTGATGAACTGGTAGGTTGCTTCATATATTTATAGGTTGGTAAAACTGGTTTTTGGTTGGCTGGTAGGTAAGGTACTAGACTGCCTAATTCATTGGTTGATAGATTAGTTAATTGGTTAATTAGTTGGTTGCTTAATTGGTTAGTTGGGATATCATTTGGTTGGTTGTTACATAGTTAGTTACTTGTGTTTCATAGGTCTAAGAATTGATGTATTGGTAAAAGTGTGGGTTGGTGACTCATAGGTTGGTAGGAAGGTAGGTAGGTTGGTTGGTTGGTTGGTTGGTTGGTTGGTGGCTGGTTGATTGGTTGGTTGGTAGGTTGGTTAGTTGGTTGGTAAATTGATTGTTTGGTAAATTGATTGGTTGGTTGGTAAGTTGGCTGGTTGGTTGGGTGGTTGGTTGGTAGGGTAGTTGTTAGGAAGTCACTCAAAGCGGTGTTCATGTCTCTGTGGGCTCAGATGGGCTTTATTGTATCTATGGGTTCCAAGGAGTGGAAGCACTTGAGAGAATTCCATTTAGAAAATATAGCTAGATGTTGTAATCTCTTGGAAACAAATACTTTCACATTTTAGGGCTCTAAGGAGCCTCACAGTCAGTGCAGCCTTGCCTTCACTTGCTTGAAGTGATTCCTGCTTTAAAGGACACCACGACTGGAGGAAAACAACAACAACAACAAAAAAACAAAACAAAACAAGAAAGGGCCTCTTACATCATTATGTAACTATATAAGACAAACTTGAAAATCAGAAGCAAGCTAACAATGAGTACACTTCAGGCCTGTGGTCACCCACCTGATCACCTCCTGAGGCCCACAGAAGCTTCCCTGGCACCCTAAGCCTCACAGGAAACATCTACAACATTCCCCACCAAACAGCATATCCAGGGCTACCCACACACCTTTCTAAAACTCCAGTGTCACTTCCCAAAAGCCCTTGCTTATAATTTGAATCTCCTTAGAGTGCTAACAGTAATATTCTGAGCTTTGAAGATCAATCAGAGCCTGGCACATCTCTCAGAAGTCCTACTGTTTTGAAGTTGCTATGTCCATGCAGCAAACGTTTTCTGAAAACAAGACATTTTCTCCTGCTGTGGAGGGCAGCCTGGGTTCCTGCAGGGGTCTGTCACCAAGGAGCCCCAGTGCAGAGAACAGTGCGCAGAGAGATCCAGTAGCAGACCTGAGTGATGATGAGCTCTGAAGGCAAATACTCCTGTCTCCAAGTAACAGACATCAGACCATCAGAGGATGGGAGAAGCTGAGTGGGCTGTCTAAAAGTAAGGCTGCTTCAGGGAAAGCTCTACTGGGTTAGATAAGTGAATGGAGTTGCCACAAAGATGCAGTGAGTTGTGGCAGGCAAGGAGATGGCTGGAGCACCAAGGCAGGGATGGCAGGAAAAAATGAAGTAATTTTTCCTCAAAGAAGCTGGAAATTGAGAGGATGTTTTTCTGTTTGGAGTGCTCCGATGTGACCTTAGCCTCCTTTAATTTACCTGAGAGGAAGCTGAGATTCTAGAAGTTTCTCAGACATCCATGAGGAGGCAGTGACTTGGCCACCATTATGTGCCTTCCCTAGTACAGACGGTGGCCTCAGACACTGCTTCTCCAGGACACCCAGACCACGTCCACTTGGTCTCCTTTGTGAACCATGTACCGTGCCAGCTTCCACCACAGACGGGCTCCCATACACACCAGGTGGCTTCACGGGCTATTCACGTCAGGCTGTTCTCACCACCCTCGAGTCTCCAGTTCTGCCTCTCTTCATCGTACTCATTGTGTCTTGTTTTCTCTTCCATCTCTCCAGCACCCATTTGCTCCTCCCGGTGGCATCTGGGATCTCTCAGTGTTTGAGGCCAGCCCAGGAATGGTCTCAGGAGTGCTACAGCCACCCATGCATTATGGCACCAGGCAGGGATCATCTCACGCGTGGTCTGCCCCCCACCAAGGCCGTGAAGCACCAGACTGGTGGTCATCTCAAGCCAGCTCCTTGTTCAGGCCCCATGGCACAGATCTGGCGGTCATGTTGAGCTCGCTCCTTCCCTGCGGCCACTGTCTCAGTTGGGGGTTCTTCTAGTCTCTGGCTTGATCCCCATCCTGAGAGCCCATTCAGGCCTGCCAGGTGGTCCTCTCAGGCTTGCCCTTTTCAGGGAATGTTAGGCCACTAATCACTCAGGTGTTCCTAAGTCAGAATGCTGAGCACAGACAGAGCTTCTCTCCGCTCTGCTCCCTACGGATGCACACGTGACACAACAGCCACACCTGCAATGCAGAGCTTGGGGCAGAGCTTGATGGTTTTAAACCACAGAAATTTGCCTTCACACTCCTGGAAATTAAAGGGCCAAAATAAAGGTGGTAGCAAGACTGGTTCCCTGTAGAGACCCAGAGGCAGGGTCTGACCTGCCTCTGTCTAAAAGCTACTGGCCCCTCTGGTTGTTCCTGGGTTGAAGTTTAACTATAAGCTATCCCCCAGCCTCATGTTTACACACTTGTGATACAGCACATCACTGTTTACTTTGGGTTACACAGGTAACCAGTATCAGCCATTTCTTACTGACTAATAGGCTCCTTGCTGTCCAGTGTTATCCACCTTGGCTCATGCCAGATCTCCACAGTGTATAAACATGTAATCTGAACATAAACTGGGCCTTGACAGCCCTCTGTTTCCCACAGTGACTATGCTCAGGAATGTAGGTTTCTGTTACTCCAAATGCCATGTGGGAATGATACATGAAAGTTGTGGGGGTTTTTTTATATAATAGTAACAGAACAAAGAAAGTCCTAAATAAATGCACTTTTCAAATGCATTGCTGGGAATATCAGGTAAGCAGGACACAGCAAAGCAGATAAACCTGTTATTGTCCCAATTACTACCTGATGACATTCTTAGCTTTGAGTCAGTGGGAGCCAGGGATCTGTTTGTAAATCCTAAAGAATTTACTTATTAGTCATAGGGCATTATGTCAGACACAAAGGTGAGCAACGAGTGACCATCAGGGACGTCCCAGGGTAATTCTGGCCCTAAACTGTAACTCTCCAGCTCTCTGTGGTCAGTCAGCAATCTCTCTAGAATGTTTAACACTGATGTGGCTTTTTTCTGGCCACCTCACTTCATACATCTTTGTGGCCAGGGATTACTATTTCAAAATATCTGATGAAATCCTCTCATGTTTTCCCTTAAACACTTCCACCTGGCTCTTCCCCCCTTGACCATGTGCATGGTTGACTGTGGCATGGGGGTCCTTCTGCAAACCCTTTGTTTTTCCCAGCCTAAAGAATCTCTGTTTGTTATTTAGGATGAATAACAGTTGAATGACTTCTCACTCTGGCCTATTTTCTAATTCGGGCTCTCCCATTTCTTTCCTAATTACCTCACCTCTAGATTAGACCCTTCTGTGATGAGGCTGTCTGCTTGCTTAAATCTCCCAGAGAAGTCAAAGAGAAGCTGTGTGTATCTGTGGCTTGGATATTTCTACAGCACCTGAGATAAATTATACAGGTAATGAGCTGGGCTCGCGCCATCCCTGTGGCTGGTGTCCCTCGTAGGCTCCAGGAGGAGGATAGAGAATGACAGACACTCTTGCCTTGTGGAGCCCCTCCAGCGAAGGAAGCTGTACCTTACCCCTGTCCACCCTGTGACTCTTCACCCCGTCACTCTGAACACAGCCAATATTGGTTATCTAGGCAGACCCCCACACACCCCAACATCTGCCCAGTGGGATCCAGTCTAGGTTGGCAGCAGTGGTTTGACCTGCTTCTGAGGAAATCGCTTGAACACTCTAATCAGAACTAGAGATTAGTCAGCTCTGGAGCTCTGGTTTCATTAGCCAGCAAAGAGCAGGGTTCGGCCCAAACATCACAGTAAACCAGGCTGGTTTAAAATAATATTATACCCCAAAGTCTCCTTAGTGTAGGCCACAATACTTTTCTGCTTCCAAATCTTCAAACATGCAGGCTGATGTAATCCTACCCTCTTCTGAGCTATTGCCAGCTAACAGCAAAATCTTAATTTCATCAAATCTTGAAATTTTCTATTTCCTACCCCATTAACACTTTAATGAATAGAACAGGGCCCCGGGGCTCCATGCAATCTTAGGGAGAGGTCGTCCCCTCTGGCTGGTGAGAATGGGAATGAAAAGCCATGTACCTTTAGTCTGGGGACAGGGAAAGGGGTACATTTTAGCAAATTCAAGTCCCAGAACACGTTCTTTTTCCCTTCCATATTAAGCGAGACCCCACACAGGCAGAGTGACCAGTGAAACCAGACAGGTCATAGGTCACAACACGGTCGGTCACTCCAGCAAGACTCCAGAACAGGTCCCCCGTGGCACTGTCCCCCACATGCAAATGGGAATCCATAACTCTGATACACCTGCTCACTAAGGCATTTGGAAGAATTTGTGATGAGTAGGATGACAGCATTAGAGGAATAGCCCCGTAAAACCAAAAAGGAATCCTATCAGTCGAACACAGACACTTCGTGGGAAATCCACCCTGTTTGTTGAATGAGAACTTAGTCAGCAATTTTTTTTTTTTTTAAGATGTGGCGCCAAGAAGGACTTTACAAAGAATGAGATACATCCTTAAATTGTGGAGAGAATGGCAGAACACTGAAAGACAGGAAGGTTTAGCTTCCTGAGCAGGCTTTCTCTCAGCTCACTAAGCCAGGGATCAGCCATGTAGAAAACTGTCTCCTCAGGAATCCCAAAGGCCCGACCGGAGAGGCCAACAGAGAAGCCAGGGGCTGAGGGACTGCAGGTCTGTAAATCTCCCATTAGCAGCAGCCGAGGAGGGGAGACTGCAAGACAGCGTGGTGGACAGAAATCTAGGTTGCACTGGCAGAAATCTAGGTTGCCGCAATTTGCATAAATGCATAAGTTTGCACAGCATGTTCAGTTGTTGTGGGCCAGGAAGGCTCTGTTAGGACTCCTACAATCAGGGTATCTCAGTGTTATGCATTTTAAGTGTCCCATCTTGCTGGCTCTGGACCTGATTAAGAGGAGTGCATCCTGGCCCTGGACACTATAAGGGACATAGTACATAGGGTTGGCCCTTTGACAGTCAAGCTCCTCACCCACCATTGTCAGTGGCCAGACCCTAGGCTCTACAGTCTCTGCTTCTGAAGAGCCAAAGGAAGGTATGTGACTGCATTGCATCCTCAAAGTCCTCTGCCCCGACCCTGGCCTTTCCTTCCTCCTCTGTCTTCCTTCTTCAGCAAACTTCCTTCTGCAGCATGGGGTCTGTACCTTTCTGATTGCTGCCAAGGAGATTGGAACTTGGAGAAGTGTGAGGATTTCTCAAGACAGAATGAAAAGTGCTGAGGCTGAGCCCCAGGCCAGAGTTCTTCCTTCCCTGAAAGGAGCCTCCTGTCTCAGCATCCAGATGTGGTAAATGATAGTGCTGGGCCCTCTACACCCTCACATTCCTTTGCCCGGAAGCCTAGCCACCTTCGTTGGCTCCAAGATCCTCCTGGGAAAGGGACAAGCTCTCCCCTGTAGAAGCTGCAGGTAGATGCTGTGGAAAGCAAAGGATCTAACCATCTCCTGATCATGCTAAACTCCAGTGTTGCTAAACTCACTGTCATTCTGTTCTCCCATCTGTGCAGGCTACAGTAAGCTTTGCTGAGGTCCTTCTAGCTGGAGCAGGGAGGAGAGAGCTGAGCAGGTAGGACCCTGCTCAGACGCTACCAGCAAGTCTGACAAAGCAGGAAAAGCCTTCAACATGAAGAAACCTCATCAAGATGAACAGGCCTCCCATGCTTTGTGTGCCTGAGGAGAAATTCCGCAAGAAAGTATCCCAGGATTTTACCTCCTCCATCAAAGCCCAGGGCACCAGCATGGCTTACAGTGAATGATTCTCTACCCCTCCTCCATCTGACACCCAGTCTTCTCCACCCCCTACCAGCTGTCCACCCTCACTCAGGATACTACTAGTTCTCCCTGTTTTGTTGCCTCAGGTTCCCAAAAGACTTTTCTGCACATCCTGTAGCATCTACTCTCCTTAGACTCCTGGGATTGCTCACCCAACAGAACAGAACCAGCAGTCCTGCCAGCCTGGAGGCTACATGCCCCTGGCATCCATGATCCTGAATCTGCCTCATCACCAGCTGACCTCCCAGCCTTGAACCCTCGCTACTCCCAGAAGTTAGGGTCTCCGATGCTATTCTGTCTCCGGGGATGCTATTCTTCCAGGTCTCCCCACGACTATTCCAGTCACCTCCCACACGCCCTTGTCCAGATGTCATTTTTCTCTGCTGACTTGGTTATAAACCACAGCTGGAGTATCACTCCTCTGGCTTTCCTCTAATTGGAATGTGTGGGGGTTGGAGTACAGTAGGTGATATTGTTCTTGTTTGGTCGTCTTGTATCTGCCTCCCACATTCACTGTGTGAAAGCCGGGTAGTGGCTTGTCTGACATTTGCAGATGTTTTCTAAACCTTCACAGCAGAGCCTCATGTTCTAAACCTCTACAATGAGCCTCTTGTTCCAACCACCTACAGCAAAGCCTTGGACATCATCAGAGTCCAGTAAACATCTGCTGTGTGTATAAATGTTCATCATGAGAAACCTGAGACCAAATTCACTTTTTAGACATCCAACCTTCTCAGGAAAACTAATGAATCAACAGATGTGTGCTTGGCTTTCTCCTTCTCAGGCCCAATGTACTTGACACAGACAGGCAAGTGGAGCTGCCAGAACTCTGCTGTGCCCAGGATTTGACTAAGCTTCCGGGCCCATTTCAGCTGACAGCAGTCAGTATCAGTTTCTTGTCTTAAGCAAGCTGTGAAGTCCTGATGCCAGTTTGGGAAGATGGGTTAGCAGGACGTCCCTGAGTTTTTCTCTCAAATCCATCAAGTCAGCCTAGCTGCCCACGGCCAATGGATCAGTGAGGTCTATGAACCCACTTGCCTGAAACCAAGCCTGCAGCATCTTCCTCTGCCACAACCCCACCATTTTTGAACTCGTGTCTCAATTGTCTCTGTCCTCTAGTGTCAGGCTAAACCCACTGCATCCATGACAGCACCCTCTCTTCCTGTCTGCCTTGCTCATTTCTGAGAAGTGGTTTCACTCTCAACTTTAGCTTTCTCAGAAACCAGGATGGGAAGAGAAGTCAAGACACATAGACCCCTACTTCCAACCTGTGCCAGGCAGGAAAGGGGACCACAAGCAAAGGGTTTGTGGTGGGGAAGATGGATGAGCTCTGGGACCTTAACCTGAAGTGGTCATATGCATTGGCTTCTGAAGGGTGTCCTTAAAAATCACCACAAACTTAGGGTCCTCTGTTTT